TTAGACTTAAGTGTGCATCACAAAAGGCACCTTATTCCCTATACAGTGCACTACTGGTCAAAAGTAGAGCACGCTAAAGGGAATAGGGTACCATTTGGGATGCAAGCATAGCTCTGCTTTAGGCATAGCTCTGCTTAATGTATAAGAGCCTTGTGCAACTGTCAGAACATGATATGGCCAGAGGGAAAATGGTTTGTGAGCACAAAACACTATTTCTGTCGATATACCATGTTGGGGCTAATGTAGTTATTCTCACTAAATCACTATATCACTCTAAAAGTTGATTAGGTTGAGTTTATAGAGAGAAAGGATAGGATGCCTACATGCTGGCATGTCTGTGCATTCCTGTTTCTATGAAAAGGATGGGGGGAATAATCAATCTTTGTGTAGCATGTTATAGCAACCTATGGATACTTGATTTATTTTCTTATGGATAGTTCTGCATGGATGGTTTGAGATCAGGTTGTATGGTGAGATTGTCTGGTCTGAATCCGATCATTTCAATCATACAGTGCCTGTATCTTGTAGTCTTCCCAGCATCAGAAAGGAGCCACATGATTTTACAATGGAGAGGTCAGGTCAGGCTCACTATCTTGACAACACTGAGATAGGTGTTGCTTGATAAAGGGAAGATTATTGCTCTGTATGACATGCTTATATCATATCTGTTAGAGTAAAAAGTGGAGACTTTCACTGACAATAAAACAAATTAAAGGAGAAATAAAAACAGTGACCGTCCACACTGTTGCTACCATTTAGCAGTAGTAAAAGAGTCATAGAGAAGAGCCTCAAATATGAATTTGACTGAAATAAATAATCTGCGGTTACAACAGACAAATATGATGGTGGGATGTACACTATATATACTATATAAAGGCATCAGGAATTTTGATCTCAGTGTCCAGTCTGTCCCTGGGGAGGTGGTCTAGGTAGTCTATGTGGACAATTGCTCCCTCAGGCACACTGACAAAGACTATTTGGTTAGGAATGGCAATTTGGGTGACTGAGTCATGACATACACTATATATACAGAAGTATGTGAACACCCCTTCAAATTAGTGGATTTGGCTATTTCAGCCACACCCGTTGCTGACAGGTGTATAAAATTGAGCACACAGCCATGCAATCTCCATAGACAAACACTGGCATATGGAGTGTGGTTCGGGCTAGGCCGCTTAGTTCCAGTGAAGGGAAATCTTGTACGCTGCAGCATACAATGACATTCTAGACGATTCTGACTGCTTCCAGCTTTGTGGCAACAGTTTGGTGAAGGCCCTTTCCTGTTTCAGCATGACAATGCCCCCGTGCACAAAGCGAGGTCCATACAGAAATGGTTTGTCGAGATCGGTGTAGAAGAACTTGACTGGCGTGCACATAGCCCTGACCTCAACCCCATTGAACACCTTTGGGATGAATTGGAACGTTGACTGCGAGCCAGGCCTATCGCCCAACATCAGTGCCCGAACTCACTAATGCTTGTGGCTGAATAGAAGCAAGTCCTCGCAGCAATGTTCCAACATCTAGTGGAAAGCCTTCCCAGAAGAGTGGAGGCTGTTATAGCAGCAAAGGGGGAACCAACTCCATATTAATGCCCATGATTTTGGAATTAGATGTTCGACGAGCAGGTGACCACATACTTTTGGTCATGTAGTGTATTTCCTGCGTTACATGTGCATATTTTTGTGCTTCACACAACTTGCCTAAAAGCATTTAAGTAGCGAAGACCATGGCAAGTTTCAACAAAGGCTTTTGTGTGGGTTTTGAAGAAGCAGACAAGATGTAGTCTTTTTTTCCATCATTTATGTGGTTTGTCACATAAGACTTGGGTTTGGTGAAAAGTGCTTTAACATTTGGACATGAACCAAGTACACATTATGTAAGAAATAAATACTGATACTTATCATAGGTAAGCCCTTTAATTTTAGGCCTAATCGCCAAAGCCATTGGTAAATGAAGATTATTTCAAAACCTTAATGTCAAATAGTCAATTTGAAATGCACGTCAAACACTTGCACTGGATTAATAGTTCTATATGATTGGGTAATGTTATTTTCAGTTCAATGTCTCAGAGATGGCCCTATTCAAAGACAAGTAAACTGTGTGAACCGAAAGTATAACCATCATTTGGGAGGAGATTTAGCAAGATCCCATAAATGCTTTGGCAAGAATGTGAGCAAAATGCTCCATGTATCAATCATCGTAATGCATCAATAAAAAGTAAAGGTCAGAGTATCTCAGGTGCACAGGGGGTGTGGCATACTCAGGTAATATAACCTGAGCTCTGTCTGTGTGGTGCTAACTACATAAGAGTACCTTCCCTGCACAACCAGCAGAATCAAGGAAACAGCAGCACTAAAGACAGCATATTCTCCAGAATTGTGTGAGTAGTCTTAATAGCTGTGATTGTAGATGATAGCATTCTAAAATGTAAAGGTTATGCTGTTTCACTATCATTTGGTATTTTGCACTCTTGTTTAAAATGTTTTATATAGTTGCTATATAATTATGAAAAGTGTTATCTGTTAAATATCCATTGATTTTTAAATGTACATTTTATAAATCATTATAGAGTAGTTGGCTACATACCTGGACTTATTAAACAAGTCCATATTTATATTAGTTTACTAAGGGCTCTGTTTGAAAATGAAAATGAAAATAATGTTTTAAATGTATATCAGTATCAGAATACAATCGTTATCATGAAGCTACAATTACAAAGTGTACCCGTACATAGAGTACCAGTCAAAAGTTTGGACACACCGACTCATTCCAGGGTTTCTACAATGTAGAATAATAGTGAAGACATCAAAACTATGAAATAACACATATGGAATCATGTAGTAACCAAAAAAGTATTAAACAAATCAAAATATATTTTCTATTTGAGATTCTTCAAATAGCCACCCTTTGCCTTGATGACAGCTTTGCACACTCTTGGCATTCTCTCAACCAGCTTCACCTGGAATGCTTTTCCAACAGTCTTGAAGGAGTTCCCACATATGCTGAGCACTTGTTGGCTGCTTTTCCTACACTCTGCCGTCCGACTCATTCCAAACCATCTCAATTGGGTTGAGGTCGGGGGATTGTGGAGGCCAGGTCATCTGATGCAGCACTCCATTACTCTCCTTATTGGTAAAATAACCCTTACACAGCCTGAAGGTGTGTTAGGTCATTGTCCTGTTGAAAAACAAATGATAGTCCCACTAAGCCCAAACCAGATGGGATGGCGTATCGCTCCAGAATGCTGTGGTAGCCATGCTGTTTAAGTGCGCCTTGAATTCTAAATAAATCACAGACAGTCACCAACAAAGCACCCCCACACCATAACACCTCCTCCTCCATGCTTTACGGTGAGAACTACACATGCGGAGATCATCAGTTCACCCACACCTCGTCTCACAAAGACACAGCGGTTGGAACCAAAAATCTCCAATTTGGACTCCAGACCAAAGGACACATTTCCACCGGTCTAATGTCCATTGCTTGTGTTTCCTGGCCCAAGCAAGTCTCTTCTTATTATTGGTGTCCTTTAGTAGTGGTTTATTTGCAGCAATTCGACCATGAAGGCCTGACTCACGCAGTCTCCTCTGAACAGTTGATGTTGAGATGTGTCTGTTACCTGAACTCTGTGAAGCATTTATTTGGGCTACAATTTCTGAGGTGCAGTAAACTCTAATGAACTTATTCTCTGTAGCAGAGTTAACTCTGGGTCTTCCTTTCCTGTGGCGGTCCTCATGAGAGCCAGTTTCATCATAGTGCTTGTTGGTTTTTGTGACTGCACTTGAAGAAACTTTCAAAGTTTCTTAAAGTAATGATGGACTGTTGTTTCCCTTTGCTTATTTGAGCTGTTCTTGCCATAATATGGACTTGGTCTTTTACCAAATAGGGCTATCTTCTGTATACCACCCCTACCTTGTCACAACACAACTGATTGGCTCAAAAGCATTTATTAGGAAAGAAATTCCACAAATGATCTTTTAACCTGTTAATTGAAATGCATTCCAGGTGACTACCTCATGAAGCTGGTTGAGAGAATGCCAAGAGTGTGCAAAGTTGTCATCATGGCAAAGGGTGGCGACTTTGAAGAGTCTCAAATATAAATATATTTTGATTTGTTTAACACTTTTTTGGTTACTACATGATTCCATATGTGTTATTTCATAGTTTTGATATCTTCACTATTATTCTACAATGTAGAAAATAGTTAAAATAAAGAAAAACCCTGGAATGAGTAGGTGTGTCCAAACTTTTGACTGGTACTGTATATGTCCTCAACAAAGGGAGAGTTTAGCAAGATGTGCTGAAGTTTCAAGGTTCAAGACTTGAAAGCAGATAGTGTGGGAGTAAGACATGGGAAGATGTTTGAAGCAGAGACAGATTGATAAGGTTTATGGTTATTACTGCAGGGTTTGATTCCACTCTGCAGCACCAGGACCTCTTCACAGAGACACGACCACACATCCAGCCATGCGGTTTAGCATTCTGTTCTTTCTCCTCCTCGCATGTCTATATGTCACCCTGGCACAAGGTATATGGTTTTGAATATGATGAACATGGCATGAGTTGATCATGGCTTTGATGCATTTTACAGGGAAATATAAATAAAAGGACATCTTTGATACTGCCAACTGACACCTGTTCCCAGAAAGATAAGCCCCACCCTGTATTCTATTCTGTTTTTATTTGGTCACTGATTGTTGGATAGCCTTTCAATAAATGGTGCTGTGTTAGCTTTGCTTTACTGACAGTAACATAGGGGTCAAAGGCTTTCAGCCATGTCTACATGCTGTTCTTCATTGATGCTGAAAAAACCTGTACACTTAAAAACTTGCACACTTAAAAACCTGCACACCTTTGTGATTACATTTGAATAGGTGGTACATAGACCTAAAGTGATCAATTATGACAAAAAAGAGAAGATCTGCATTTAAATGGAATACACAGATTCATTTGTGTCAATAAGACCTTGCCTTATTCATCTTAAACACCGATGTTGAGCTATGATCCTCTCTGTGGCCTCAGGCTCATATGAGGACTGCTGTTTGGAGTACGTCAGAGGGTTGAAGAAAGCTGCTAGGAGGATGGTGACGAGCTACAGGAGGCAGGAGACGGATGGGGGCTGCAACATCCCTGCTATAGTGTAAGTCTGTCTTATATGAGCCTTAGACAGGCTGCTCCATGTCTTGCAGAAAATGTAAACAGTTAAAGAGATATTGACATTCAATGTTGGTATAAGCGCACTGCAGAGTATCAGATAAATCCAACCGCTGCACGGCCCAAGATTCAGTTACTTCGTGAAATTAAAAGTACAGTATATAAGCAGTAGGCTACACTAGTGTTCGTCCTTGTATTTTGGAGTTAGTCAGTCTAACCTTTCCTTTCCAAATCCTTTCCCCATCAGTTTCTCCATGAAGAGAGGCAGGTTGTTCTGTGCCGACCCCAGAGAGAAGTGGGTGAATGAACTGATGCTGGAAGTTGAATCCAAGAAAAATAAAAAGGTAAGAATTTCTACTAGTACTGGATTGATTGATTGATCTTACTGAAACCAATATCCTTGTTTTACAGCACATGCGGGGGCCAAAGAGGCTGAAAGGCTAGAAGTGCTGCTTTTGAGACCATGTCTTCTATAACCATTTACTCAACCACCCTGCAGTGACAAGTCCTGTTTTTAAATCAAAAAGATTTTTAATGATGTCTGGTCATTTGAGGGGACATTTTTGCTTTTCTACTGCAAAAATAATCTGCTGCTTTAACAGAGACCTGCCTGGTATGATGCATACTTTCTGGTACAGTATAGTTCTGTAGTACCTGTTGAAGCCAGCCCAGCCATTCAGTATATCTGTATTTTACTGTATAGCAACTAGCCTGTCGGAGTCAGTGCCTGTATGAAGGGATGTATGTGTGTGTGTTTGTTTGCGTGTGTGTGCGTGTGTGTGTGCGAGAGTGTATGTGTAATTGTGTTTAGCATAAAACCTGTATTGAAGATAGAGGCACCAACCCAAAAATTATAAGAGCCTACAACTTTTGAATGAACTCTGTTTGTATTTTGTTTTCTTTGAATGTTTTGATATTGTAGATTTTTTTCTTCAAATTATGTATATTTTCTGTGCTTTTTAATACTTGTTTTCACAAACAAAGTTTAATAAAGTTGTTTACTGCGTTTCACTCTACAGAAGAAAAATGGCACATATTAGATTAACAGAATCTATTGGCATTGAAACCAACCAATGTACTTACATAGCGGCTTTTCTATAACACACGATAATGTCAATGTCTCCCTAATATTCCAATTAAGACATGTTTGTGACAGAAGTTAAATTTTTCTCTGTCTCTTTTATGGTTCTGGCACAATAAACAATAGAATACAACGTAGTGGATATACAGTGCATTCTGAAAGTTTTCAGACCCCTTGACTTTTTCCACATTTTGTTACGTTCCAGCCTTATTCTAAAATTGATTAAATAAAATAAAATCCTCATCAATCTATGTACAATACCCCGTAATGACAAAGCGAAAACAGGTTTTAGAAAGTTTAGCACATTTTGTAAAAATAAAAAACAGAAATACCTTATTTACATAGGTATTCAGACCCTTTGCTATGAGACTCGAAATTGAGCTGAGGTGCATCCTGTTTCCATTGATCATCCTTGAGATGCTTCTACAACTTCATTGGAGTCAACCTGTGGTAAATTCAATTGATTGGACATGATTTGAAAAGGCACACACCTGTCTAAATAAGGTCCCAAAGCGAAGGTTCACCTTCCAACAGGACAACGACTCTAAGAACACAGCAAAGACAATGCAGGAGTGGCTTTGGGACAAGTCTCTGAATATCCTTGAGTGGCCCAGCCAGAGCCAGGACTTGAACCCAATTGAACATCTCTGGAGAGACCTGGAAATAGCTGTGCAGCCACGCTCCCCATCCAGCTAGACTGAGCTTGAGAGGATCTGCAGAGAAGAATGGGAGAAACTCCCCAAATACAGGTGTGCCACGCTTGTAGCGTCATACTCAAGAAGACTCAAGGCTGTAATCACTGCCAAAGGTGCTTCAACAAATTACTGAGTAAAGGGTCTGAATACTTATGTACAGTGGGGGAAAAAAGTATTTAGTCAGCCACCAATTGTGCAAGTTCTCCCACTTAAAACGATGAGAGAGGCCTGTAATTTTCATCATAGGTACACGTCAACTATGTCAGACAAAATGAGAGAAAAAATATCCAGAAAATCACATTGTAGGATTTTTAATGAATTTATTTGCAAATTATGGTGGAAAATAAGTATTTGGTCAATAACAAAAGTTTCTCAATACTTTGTTATATACCATTTGTTGGCAATGATACAGGTCAAACGTTTTCTGTAAGTCGTCGCAAGGTTTTCACACACTGTTGCTGGTATTTTGGCACTTTTTCACTCAAAATCTCACGATACATGGCCCCATTCATTCTTTCCTTCACACGGATCAGTCGTCCTGGTCCCTTTGCAGAAAAACAGCCCCAAAGCATGATGTTTCCACCCCCATGCTTCACAGTAGGTATGGTGTTCTTTGGATGCAACTCAGCATTCTTTGTCCTCCAAACACGACGAGTTGAGTTTTTACCAAAAAGTTCTATTTTGGTTTCATCTGACCATATGACATTCTCCCAATCCTCTTCTGGATCATCCAAATGCACTCTAGCAAACTTCAGACGGGCCTGGACATGTACTGGCTTAAGCAGGGGGACACGTCTGGCACTGCAGGATTTGAGTCCCTGACGGCGTAGTGTGTTACTGATGGTAGGCTTTGTTACTTTGGTCCCAGCTCTCTGCAGGTCATTCACTAGGTCCCCCCGTGTGGTTCTGGGATTTTTGCTCACCGTTCTTGTGATCATTTTGACCCCACGGGGTGAGATCTTGCGTGGAGCCCCAGATCGAGGGAGATTATCAGTGGTCTTGTATGTCTTCCATTTCCTAATAATTGCTCCCACAGTTGATTTCTTCAAACCAAGCTGCTTACCTATTGCAGATTCAGTCTTCCCAGCCTGGTGCAGGTCTACAATTTTGTTTCTGGTGTCCTTTGACAGCTCTTTGGTCTTGGCCATAGTGGAGTTTGGAGTGTGACTGTTTGAGGTTGTGGACAGGTGTCTTTTATACTGATAACAAGTTCAAACAGGTGCCATTAATACAGGTAACGAGTGGAGGACAGAGGAGCCTCTTAAAGAAGAAGTTACATGTCTGTGAGAGCCAGAAATCTTGCTTGTTTGTAGGTGACCAAATACTTATTTTTTTACTTTGGAAGACCCATTTGCGACGAAGCTTTAACTTCCTGACTGATGTCTTGAGATGTTGCTTCTATACAGTGGGGAGAACAAGTATTTGATACACTGCTGATTTTTCAGGTTTTCCTACTTACAAAGCATGTAGAGGTCTGTACTTTTTATCATAGGTACACTTCAACAGTGAGAGACGGAATCTAAAACAAAAATCCAGAAAATCACATTGTATGATTTTTAAGTAATTAATTTGCATTTTATTGCATGACATAAGTATTTGATACATCAGAAAAGCAGAACTTAATATTTGGTACAGAAACCTTTGTTTGCAATTACAGAGATCATATGTTTCCTGTAGGTCTTGACCAGGTTTGCACACACTGCAGCAGGGATTTTGGCCCACTCCTCCATACAGACCTTCTCCAGATCCTTCAGGTTTCGGGACTGTCGCTGGGCAATACGGACTTTCAGCTCCCTCCAAAGATTTTCTATTGGGTTCAGGTCTGGAGACTGGCTAGGCCACTCCAGGACCTTGAGATGCTTCTTACGGAGCCACTCCTTAGTTGCCCTGGCTGTGTGTTTTGGGTCATTGTCATGCTGGAAGACCCAGCTACGACCCATCTTCAATGCTCTTACTGAGGGAAGGAGGTTGTTGGCCAAGATCTCGCGATACATGGCCCCATCCATCCTCCCCTCAATACGGTGCAGTCGTCCTGTCCCCTTTGCAGAAAAGCATCCCCAAAGAATGATGTTTCCACCTCCATGCTTGACGGTTGGGATGGTGTTCTTGGGGTTGTACTCATCCTTCTTCTTCCTCCAAACACGGCGAGTGGAGTTTAGACCAAAAAGCTCTATTTTTGTCTCATCATACCACATGACCTTCTCCCATTCCTCTTCTGGATGGTCATTGTCAAACTTCAGACAGGCCTGGACATTCGCTGGCTTGAGCAGGGGGACCTTGCGTGCGCTGCAGGATTTTAATCCATGACGGCGTAGTGTGTTACTAATGGTTTTCTTTGAGACTGTGGTCCCAGCTCTCTTCAGGTCATTGACCTGAAGAGGTACACCTCCAATTGACTTAATCTATGTCAATTAGCCTATCAGGCTCTTCTAAAGCCATGACATCATTTTTTTGAATTTTCCAAGCTGTTTAAAGCCACTGTCAACTTAGTGTATGTAAACTTCTGACCCACTGGAATTGTGATACAGTGAATAATAAGTGAAATAATCTGTCTGTAAACAATTGTTGGAAAAATTAGATGTCCTAACCGACTTGCCAAAACTATAGTTTTTTATCAAGAAATTTGTGGAGTGGTTGAAAAATGAGTTTCAATGACTCCAACCTAAGTGTATGTAAACTTCCGACTTCAACTGTATATATATATATATACAGTTGAAGTTGGAAGTTTATATATACACACACACAAACAATATATGACCAAAAGTATGTGGACACCTGCTCGTCGAACATCTCATTCCAAAGTCATAGGCATTAATATGGAGTTGGTACCCCCTTTGCTGCTATAACAGCCTCCACTCTTCTGGGAAGGCTTTCAACTAGCTGTTGGAACATTTCTGCAGGGACTTGCTTCCATTCAGCCACAAGAGCATTAGTGAGGTCGGGCACTGATGTTGGGTGGTTAGGCCCGCAGTCGGCGTTCCAATTCATCCCAAAGGCGTTCGATGGGGTTGAGGTGTGGGCTATGTGCAGGCCAGTCAAATTCTTCCACACTGATCTCGACAAACCATTTCTGTTTGGACCTCGCTTTGTTCACGGGGGCATTGTTCCTGAGTGGCGCAGTGGTCTAAGGCACTGCATCGCAGTGCTAACTGTGCCACTAGAGATCCTGGTTCGAATCCAGGCTCTGTCGCAGCCGGCCGCGACCGGGAGACTCATGGGCGGCGCACAATTGGCCCAGCGTCGTCCAGGGTAGGGGAGGGAATGGCCGGCAGGGATGTAGCTCAGTTGATAGAGCATGGCGTTTGCAACGCCAGGGTTGTGGGTTTGATTCCCACGGGGGGCCAGTATAAAAAAATATATATCTGTATTCACTAACTGTAAGTCGCTCTGGATAAGAGCGTCTGCTAAATGACTAAAATGTAAATGTAAATGCATTGTCATGCTGAAACAGGAAAGGGCCTTCCCCAAACTGTTGCCACAAAGTTGGAAGCACAGAATCGTCTAGAATGTCATTGTATGCTGCGGCGTTAAGATTTCCCTTCACTGGAACTAAGGGCTCTAGCCTGAA